CTTTAAGCTCTGCCAAAATCCCCAGCACCTCCTGCCTGTGCCTTTTTATAACCAGCTGACTCTCCCACAAACTCCATTTCCCTGCTTGCTTCCCCAAGGCCTCTTGGGACCAACCCACTGGTCCTCCTGCCAGAAGCTCCCTGCTTGCTATCTCTCCTCATGGTATTGCTCCTGCCCAAAGGCAAAGATGATTAGGCAGACCCAGCATCATTTCCCCATTCCCACTTTTCAACCCCTCCATGGCTCTGAAGGGAGAAGAGTAAAGCAAAGTCCAGCACTACCCCCTCCTTCCTCACCACACATAGGTCCCAAAACTCAGAGTGTTCAGCCTTTCTGAGGATGGTGGCAGACAGCACGACATAAGAAGCCTACAGCTCCTTATTGGCTCTTGGGAGACCCTCCTTGGGGGAATCTCCATTCAAAAGGGGCTCTATGAAGCCCTAATATGTGTATGGGAAAAACTATAACCTGGGCAGGGGTGGGAGAACTGAAGGGCAGGAGAGACCTGTTTTACTGCATTTCCCTACTTGCTGAATTCATCCATTTTCACTTTTAGTCATCACCACACCAGGACCCACCACTCAGCGTGGTATCACTGGAAAGGACTCCTACGTCAAGACCCCAGATCCAGGTAGCCTGGGTGCAGGGAGGGAGAGGGGAGCAGCTGGGTTCTGGCCCACTGATGCCACTGAAACCTGCAGGCATTTTGGAGTGGGAGGAGAGTGAAAATCCACAGAGCTTTATCAGAGTTGGAAGGATTAAACTCCAATGTTTCATCCCACATAGGAAAGGCTAAGGATGAGGTAAAAAGCACGAGCATGTCTCATGCCTGGGCACACTGAGAAGAGGGGGAGGGAGGGCAGAGCCTTAAGGGCTGGGAGTGGTTTTAGCCTCATCAGGGGAAAGAGAAAATTTTTGGCTACATGTCCTCCCTCAAGTCTCTGGAAAATGGTGAGAGTAGCAGCCCAGGGGAAGCCCTCTGCCTCACCACCAGCCTCATGGAACACCAGGCAGGGCCCTTGGCAGCTCCCTTGGCTCCACCAGAACTGGCCCTGACACCAGCCCTGAGCACCTGCTGGACCTTTCCCCTTCTCCATTCCTGCTCAAAGCTTGGACTCAATGATCTTGGAGGTCTTTTACAAACTTAATGTTTCTGTGCTTTTTTGACCTTTACCCTTCTCTATTCCTTCAGAGTCCAGCACAGAGAAGGACCTGAATTCCTTCTGTGATGGTATCATCTGGGTTCCCTCGGCAGGCGCCTGCCTCCTGCTCCTCATTGCCCTGGCCATCACCATCCTGCAGTGCCCAAGTAAGGCTCACCACAATCCCTATAGATTCACCTCCGGCCTCAAACCACAGCCCTGTCCCTCAGAGGGATGGATGTTCTGCCTGCTTTGTGAGGTATCAGATAACCAGGACACAGTCAATGCAAGAGAAGGACTACTGTTAAAATCACTGTCTGTATTTTCCTCATCGGTAGGCTTAGGCTGAAAAATAATTAACAACTTAGAATCATAGAATCAGAAATTTATTTAGGTTGAAAAAGACCTTCAAGGAAGAAAATTGATTAGAAACAGACAGAACTTACTGTATGAACTGTCTTGGCTCTACCATCCTTAAATTGGTGTGTCAGAGATTAATGTACCAGGGCCTGAAACATTCTGACACATCAGGGTAAATATGCTCCAGCATATGCTGAGACTCCCAGAAGCAGCTTGAGCTGTAACTAAAAAAGTAACTTCATTACACAGGTTCAGAGACTGCCACAGTTTAAGCAGGAATGCAGAATCTCTGGGTCAGCAAAAGCCCTTTGGTGAAATTTCGTGTTTGAAATGAAGTTAAGCTACCCTGAGCAAGCAGTGAGTGCAAATGGATTTAACTCAATTTAGCTCACTGAAATCAGTTCAACTCTCCAGTACCCCAGAAGTTATGACTTCATTAATCCAGCTCTGCTCATTTGCCTGAACACCAGCAGTTCTGCTGCTGAATTAACCTAACTAGATCCTCCCTGACCCTGAGGCCTGGAGCTGATGCCAGATGAATTTACCAGCTGACCCAGCTGAAAAAGCACCATTTTTCAGCATCCTTCAGCCCTGAAAAAATACTAATCTCCATACTCTGCAGAGATAGGAAGGAATACATGAAAAAGCATTAAGGAGACACAGCCAAAAATCATTCTCCTTGGGGGAAGTAGCTGATGATGCAGCAGAGTGCCTGGACTTGGTCCAAATTCCCTCTGAAGTTACCAGGAGCCAAGAGCTCTCCACATACTGTGGCATTCCCTGGTGACCTGCAACACTGTTAACCTACAAACACCACTCAGTGATTTACTTCTGCCTTTTAACACTGATGTAAAACGATCAGTGAAAAGCCATCAGCTGCAGTTAATTTCTGCAGCAGCCTAAAACCTCCAGGATAGATTAATACTTGGGCTAAAATTAATGGCAGAACACTGTATTTTGCTGAATACATCCCAAAGTAACAACAGAGATGCTAAAATGGGGAAGAGCATCGTTCAACTTGGTTGCATGTGGAGTGCCACTCACCTCTTGTAGAAACAATTCCTGCTAAGGGATTTTCAGCAACATGCCAAAGTCAACAGAAATAATTCACCCTCTGGATTCCCAGGCTGACCCTACTACTGCTACTCACCTCACATTTTAATTCATCAAAATGTTTAAGTGGAATATTGAGGTAACAGGAGCTGCAGCACCACTCCCTGGCAGGGATTTGCTTAAAAATAAACTTGGTTTATCCGTGGTTAATTTTAAAGGTATCAGCTGCTGGGGAACACCAGACCCACCTTGCTGCAGTGTTTCTTTACTGAGCTGTGACTTGGTAGCTTTGAACTAAAACATTTTCTTTCTTATTTTAGAAACCAGAAGACGAAGGTGGAGGCGTAAAAGGTTAGTAAGTGACAGGCATTGGCAATTTTCCCTTAAACTTGGCACCCTCAGGCAACAAAGCAGGAAGGTGCCCAAAAGCAACCTAAAAATTCTTCATCCGATAGCCGTTGGATGGGAGGGGACTGTGAAATGACTTAAGGGCAAAAACGAGACAGAAGATTCTCTTGTTCTGTGTTTTTGGATTTGTTTGCAGTTTTTGTTTGGGGTTTTTTTGTGATTAAGTAGTTCAAATCACTTGGCCCTGACACACCAGTAGATATAAAACATAAAGACAGGTGGTGCTTGTGGCAGACCAAAAAAATCACCACGGCTTCAGGCCTCCATTTCCCCTGCAGGCATTAAGGAACAGCAGCAGGGAGGCTGCTGCAAACTTGGATGACTTTCCTGAGAAACAGCACTGCAGACAGGAATAGATTTAGAGGCAACCCAGTTTCTAGGGCACATGGAGATCCTTCTTTTATGTTTTCCCTCCTGCCACCCCAACCCGCCCATCATCCTGAATCACAAGGAAAACACCATCACAAGGAGAATTGCAATTTGCCAGTTTGGAAAAAGAAATGCTTTTGCCCATGTGCATTATCCTTCTGCAAAAAGACCTCCCTGCAGCCAGTTTCTTCACCTCCCCTGCTCTGCAGGAAACCACTTCTGCAGTTTTGCAAGCCTTGGGCACCCTGGGGCTTGTGGCCAGAGACCCACCAAGAAATCCCCACTACTGCTCCAGGCAGCCAGTGCTGGGCTAGTGCTTGGAAAAGCTGGGTTGCCAAGAAAGTTTGGGACAGCATGTTCACAGCTCTGGAGCCTCATTCTTTGCAAATCAGAGCATCTTTTAAATCAGATAAATTCATGTTCTTTGTTATACAGCCATGGGGCTTATAGTAAGAAAGGTAATTGTCTTTCAGTTGTCTAAATTAATACAATCACTCAGAGAAAGACCACCCTCCCCTACTATAGTAGATCCCTACAATTGTTTGTGTTTTTTTTTAAAGACAGAATGCATTTTTTTTACCCATCTGAAAAAGGGAACAGTCTGTCAGTTTTACAATGGATATTTATTACACCCAGGACTCTTCTGATCCTTGTCTGCCTTTCCAAGGGAGAAATGATAATGAAAAGCTGTCCATGCTGCCTTGTTTAGGATGATGTTTGCATTCTTCACTTATTTCAACCCCTGTTGCCAGCCCTGGACAGGGATGTTCTGTCCCTACAGAGAAAAAATATCTGCCCAGCTCTTCAGTTCTGCACCAATGGAGCAGTTGGGTTACAAGGACCTCAGGAAATCAAGGACACCTTTCCTTCAGCTGCACTAACATGACATGGTTTAAGAAATTGTAGCATATTTCAGTTTTTATTTAGAGAGGAAATTTCTGCTGCTCTGAGCAACTCCCAATTATTGAAATGAAGCTCTTTAGAAGTTAATAGTGCAATTCACTGCATGAAAGAGCACCTAAGGATCTGGCCTGGGATTCTTGCTGGCAGCAGAATGATTCATTTTCCACCACAAATTAATCTTCAGTAAAGAAGGGTGCCAAATCTCCAATTTGTTAGATCAGCATAAAACTCTTAGGTCCTGGAGACCAGCAATTTCTATCATTTTGGGTGCACTCTGCCTGTCTAGAAAGCCTCCTTTCAAACTCCTCTGCAGTAAACAGGTTGCAATAAGAAAAATTCTCTAGGAATTGATAACAGCTTGTCCAATCAAAAAAAAACCCCAAGGTCTTCTTTATTCATTCATTTCTGAATGTGGAGAAAGGCTTGGTGAGAGGACAGGAGTGAGCAGAAGTCAGAGGTAAATTAAACTCGCACTCTTTTTTTAAATTAGAGTAAGAATTGATCATCAGTGTTTCTTAAGAACATCCTTCTGCTGGCTGTCACTACCTGAAATGTAGGCAGATCCTTCACTAGGATCATCAAAGATGATTTCAGAACATTTTGCAGCTTGCTCTTGCAGGTCCCTGGCTGCAGACCAAGGCTAAACAAGATCATCAGCTCATCACACAATTAATTGCCTTTCTCTTCCTTTCCCATCAAAGGAAATCAAACCCTTTTCTCTCTCTCCAGGCCTGTGCAGGGGAAGCCCCACACCAAACCCGGCATGATAAACTGACACCTTGCAGCATCCACACCTTTGGGCTTCTGGATCGTCCCCCGGGTGCTGTCAGCACACAAACCCATCTCCTACGTTCTCTACACTGTGACTGCACCTCATGCACTCTGCCCTGGCAAACTGGAAAAGACAAGATGGAGCACAGACACCCAGACAACCAGCAGCACTGTTTCTGGGAACTGCACCCTAAAGCACAGCTCCTTCCAAAACTGGAGCTTTTCAAATCGATTCCCAAGGCCAAACGCCCTCTCTGTTCCCAGTGACAGGGTTCAGGCAAAGGAACCAGGTCAATCCTGATGCTGACAGGCATCAGTGACAAGCAGATGAGGAATAAGGAATAAATCTCTACTCAAGGGCGTGTGCTACTTCTTTCTAAAATGCAGCCAGGCTTTGAATTCACTACAAAGTGACTTGGAAATAAATGCTCTCACTTAACACATCCTCTGTCTGTGGTTGCCATCTCTCTCCTAGGATTTTTACTGTTTCATCTAATCTATTACAAGGCTGCACTGAGAAAGTAAATATGGATTAAAGGGCCTTACTTCTTGTGTTTTTACAGTTCTGTGGGTAATGTTTTGTTTCCCTCATGCTATTCCTCTTCTGCTGTTACCCCCAATTCCACCGATTTCAGCAGGAGTTTGGCCCGAGCAAGGAAGGTGGGATTTGTTTGTTTCTGAAAGAAACAGATGAGAGGTAACAAAAATAGTCTCTGTCAATTGTTTTGGTTAACAATAATGGGACTTTTAACATGTTGATTATTTAGGGACATGTTGATTGACTGCAGTAAATTCTGTTTATTCAGATATGCAAGCTCCAGGAAGCATCACCCATCCCCATGTGCAAATGGTCACTCAGAGGCAGCCCCAGGGCCCTCTCTGGTGAAGCAGACAAGGGGTTTTTGGGCAGGGCGGAAGCTCCTGTGGTTAGAGAAGAGAACCACGAGTCGCTAAAAAAAAAAGAAAAAGAAAAGCCCTTGGGCACTGGGCGCTCTGGTGGGTTTCTGCTCACAGACCACCTGCCTTGCACTTTCCCTGAGTAAATGCAAAGAAGAATTGACCATAGAGAAATTGCAGAGAGAACAATCGAGCACCTGAAGAACCTGGCTGTGTGCCAGCAAAGCCTGTGCTTGAAGATAAATGATACACATGGATCTATGCCATGAAACATCTGTGTCTCACTTGCTGGGTAAGACAATACTCTGGGCTTTGCATTCCACATGAGACCCCTTGAGTGTGGTCAAGAGAAGGATGAAGAATCCCTTCTGGGAAATGCAAACTGGGACCTTCACCCAAAGCACGAGGCTTGTCTGTGACTTCTGTGGAGCTGCTGTGGACCCACAGAGGGCTGGGGGACAGCAGGCTGGGGCGCCTGATCCTACCTCAGGCATGAGCAGCAGCACTCTGGATCTCTAGGGAATTCATCAAGGCAAACTCTGTGAGACACCATTAAGAATTGATAAGGATAAATGAGCCCAAATTCTGGACTAAAATGGAATTTTTTCAGAAATTTTCTTTTCCCCTGCATTTTGCAACAGATGCCGAGCATCACCTCTTTACCCAAGAGGGTCCTGATGACATCACATCCTCCCCAAAGTGTGACCCAGCCTCCCAAGTCAAGTGACAAAGATCATCTCAGCTGCACTGCGCCGTCTCCAAGGACAGACACCCCCAGCAGAAGATGGACGGGTCTCCTGCCCTGCTCCTCCTGCTCGCTCTGGGACTCTGTGAGTATGGACACAGGGTGGTGCAGCTCCTTCACTGGGAGAAGCAAGGAAAAATCCTTCCACTGAATCCAAGGAATTGGGA